GACTGGTTCAATTATCCCCTAGGCTTTCAAATTATTTGTGAAAAGTAGGACGTTAAAACTGCAATTTCATTTTCATATTATTTGTATTAGTCCACTCACACCATTGTCATTGAAGCTGAGTTTCCATTCCATGTGGAGTTTTACACTGTAATACAATTGCAAATTTGATGAGCTGATATCAGTACTTTTAACACAAATTGAAGAAAATTAGTTTGCGTAATATATTGAGGAAATCAATAGTTTTGTGTTCATAAAGCGTTATGTAACCTTGTAGTCGAGTTTCATATTTACCACCTTGTTTGCTTAAATCATCTAACTCATTTAAATGTTGCCATTAAATCAACATTCGACATAGTTTTATGTTCATTAAAGATGCATTATGTAAGATTTTTATCTTCCTTAAAGATACATTATGGGAGATTTTTACAGAGAATTGGCCATTCTTGCTGTAACAGTTCAAAAGTAGATGATGAAAGAAGAATATTTTGAAAATTTCAGTCAAATTACTTTATTCTGAACATAGTTATCGTTGTAATATTTGACTAGAAATGGTAGTGAAATGTGCCTTCACCGTGGCTGATCGTTTGATTGACAGGCGTTAACTCCACCTACATATCTCATTTATCAAGTAAAGTTTTCAATGGCATGCGGAAACGCTCTACAGCGGCCTCGCTAAGTACACTCTATCATTTAGCCCCGATCTGACTGACGTATTCTCATCAGGATGCGCCATATTTGAATTAATTGATAAGTGAAATCCTATTTAAATCCGAGCTGTAGCCGAGCCATCCGTGGGTCTACAGAGTTGATTTTGGGCTTCTATAACATCTGAAGCCTAAATTAAGACTTGCAATAATCAGATTTTGCTCTTGTATAATGTATGTTTAAAGGATGCATTACATGTATGTAAGATTTAGATAAGACCTGATTTTTATTGCTATAATAAGTCTCAATTATCCCAATCTGATTAAAACACAGATCCTATTTCGTTTCGTTTTTTATAGTTCAAAATATCCTTTTACTTGTCTTTACTACACTAGGATCTGGAAGAGTTGTTATATAACCTGCGTCAAAACTACAAACAATGATAACTTGGCTGAGAATGAAGTAATTTGAATGAAATTTTCAATATTTTCTTTTTTTATCATCTATTTTTGAATTATTATAGCAAGAATGACCAACTCTTTATTAAACTCTTAACTAATGTATCTTTAAGCATATGTTAAGTAATCAATTTGAGTGCACATTATCATGGAACAAGCCAGGAGAAATTTCAGAATTTCAGACAAAATGGAAATCATGCATCATTACTTTAGCTCGTTTATATGCAGCCATTAAAGCATCCTTGGAGCTAAATAGAAATATTATGTCACTTTTATTATTGCTGTCGGGCATTTATTTGAAATATGTGTTCAAATAAGCTATAAGCTGATGTTATTCCCAATAGTTTGCCGACATTAAGCAGCCTTTGATCATATTAATTACTAAATAATGTATTGATTTAGAAATTTGAGCCGAAAATATATCCCTTATCTTTTGATGGTATAACGCTGTTATATGTAAACAAATGCTATTTTGCCATCTAACTTAAGAACTTGGGATTTTCAAATAGTTATGGGAGGTTCTCATGTAAATGGTCGTGATATGTTATGTACTGTACTTATGAAATTAAACTTGGGTTAATATCCTATTTTTCTGTGCTAATGAAGATTTGTATGTATGTGCCATGCAGTGTGCAGGTCAGCAGTGTTTTAGCCTACGCAAGGGGGTTGGGTGACCAAATGGTTAACACATGCGCGTTGCATCATAGAGTCAAGTGACATGGTTTCAATTACTCGCTTGTACGTGACAAGGAGTAGGGTTGCCTGTCCAACTTCTCTGGTTTTCTCCAGGTTCTCCGGTTTCCTCCCACTGCTAAAGACCCCTATGTGCAAGCGATTAAATGAAATAAAACCGAACCATATGTTAGTCCCGAAATGACCATTTCTCTTTCTCTCTCAGCCTACATTCCAATTGCAAGGGTTCCTAAAACATTCTCGCCAAGATATACACATAACCTAGCTAGGTTTTAGCATTTAAACGACTAGATGCTGTCGGACCATCTGTCATCCACCTCCACCACTACTAGTTGACAAGTGGAAACCATTCTGGGAAATCCTAAGGAGCTTTCTAGGTAAACATAGAACCCAGGACCTCCTCCTGAGTTAGCAGTGATTGGACTTGATTGATAACCATATTAAATTTTATGGAATAAGGTTTTAGTCAAATAATTGATGGAGAGGAATTTAAGGTCTACTGTTTCAGCCAATGCTGCAGTAGACCATTTGAAATGGAACAATTTAAAACAAACTATTTAACGAGAAAAAATGTTCTGGTAGCAATTTCGACACTTCTTTTATTCCTCTGCTTAAAGATTCATTCCCATGATACTATTTATAGAGTAGTTATTTCCAATAAATTTGGCATATATGAAAGTAGATGCCCAGTCTTACTAGAAAGATACTGGATTCCCTGAAAAGCAAATAAACCGTGCTGAAGGGTTAAAACTGTTTTATTAAAAATAAGAATTCATTGGAATGGTGGGCGAAGTAGGTTATCAATATAAATGGTGGGTGTAATAGGTTTCCAATATAAATGGCAGATAACAAAAAAATAAAAGACGTTATTAACAAATTATGAATATTTGATTTATTTTACTGGAATGAAATAGTTTCTTCCTTGTATCGAGCAGATTTTCAAAGATGGTAATAAACCAATTATAAGTGAAAGATATCAAAAAAAATATTACTAAAAATATTGTTTCACCTCCAGACCAATTAGGGGGCGTATCATAAGGCCTGTCATTGAGTCAACTGGCGTGGACTCGAATCCCCCGTTGTACGTGACAAGGAGTAGGGTCACCTGTCCAACCTCGTGGGGTTTCTCCGGGTACTCCGGTTTCCTCCCACTGCTAAAGAACCCTACGCGCAAGTGAATTATTGAAACAAAAAATTAAGCCATATGTTAGTCCCGAAATGACCAAGTTGTGTCAAGTGGACATAAACCTCATTTCTCTCTCTCTCTCTCTGTATCCGAACCAATTATGAAATTTGAAAAAAAAGCTGGTCAAAATATTTCTGCATCTGATTATGTTTGTTACTTTTATTATCGCAGTTTAGAAGCCGATATATGTGTTATTTTTATGTTAATTGTCAATTAAAATTAGCTAATTAACGAAAGCTGATTCATGGTAATAAATATTTAACGAGTCTAGAAAGCTTAAAGTTAACGTTTCTAATTTAAACTTTTCCTGGGTTTTTTTTTTATAAAAATTGATTTTATTCTGAAAGGCAATACAGTCCAATACAATAATTGCTGAACTAACTCCAGTCATTCAGGAAAGGAAATCTCGTACATTGAATAGATCTTTATCTAGACAATAATTTGCTAAGCAGACTCCATGTATTAAAGAGATCTAAGAAATCTAACAGGTCTTTATATACAGACAATTATATATATAACCTGATTATACATGCCCGCTAGATCTTCATGGTGAAAAGAAACTTTTTTTTGTGTAAATAAAATATTTTATTCAATAAAATGTCTGTAATAGAATTGGGGAAGAGTCTATAACAGTCCCTTGGTCATCAGGTCATTAATCTTGCCAGTGTCTGGGGTTCAGAAAGATACTATTGCTAGAAGAAGAAAATGATATTCAATTAAAAATCATTAGCTAGCTGAAACCACTGTATTGGTTAGATGACTGAGTGGTGAAATGCATGCACTGTAGATAATAAGACCTGTTGTCTATATATTGTCATTGATTCCATATAACCTGAAATGAAATGAAATGAAATGGGGTTTAATGTCTTACTGTTCTGCTCCTATACTGGGCTAATGAAGACTGGCATACGCCATTCAGTGTGCCAGGAAGGAAATTTTGCCCGGGCAGCGGCACTATCGCCTACTCTTATATCGAATTCCAACTGCCAGGGGATCTTTTACATGCATTCCAATATATACACGGGACAGCTGTCATCCGAAGGACTAGACAGCTGTCCTTGTCAGGCCCTCTGTCCTGCATCACTGACAAGGGGGAACCATGCCAGAAAATCTGGATGAACTTTCTCGGCCAATGCGGGGATTGAACACCCGACATCCAGGCTAGCGAGCCAGCGTCTTACCCACTTAGCCACGTGATCCCCCTCCATATAACCATGTACATGACGAGATGAAATGAAGTGTGGTTTAACATCCTACTTTCTGCACCAGATGGGCTAATGAAGACTGGTATATGCCATGCAGTGTTTCAGCCTACATGGAGAGGTTGGGGTGGAAAAGGGCAAAGGGTTAACATGTGTGCATTGCATCATAAGGTCTGTCATTGAGTCAATTAGTGGCGTGTTTGATTCCCTGCTTGTACGTGACAAGGAGTAGGGTAAGCTGTCTAACATGACAAGGAGTTGTTTCACCTGCCTAATCTGGTGGGGGTTTTGCCACTTTCAAAGACTTGTGAATTATAAAGATCAAATTGACCCGACATGAAATAACATGGGTCAGTGTTTCCCACTTTGAACATTTTACAAATCTCCTTATTAGGACCCCCACCTTGCAGTCTGTGCTTTTCATCAGTGTTTTCTTTGTGAACAAATTTGGTGGTCAGCTGGAATGGGTCTGTGATATCAAGAAATAAAGTGCAGATACATACTAATTTTACAAAATGATTTATGGCTTTAGGTTACGGTACTAAGATAGAACTTATCATCAGACAACCTTTAGCTCAGGACATTTAGTGTTTTTTAGATTGGGCTTGTGAATAAATTTGGGGGTCTGCGTGGGAAAAAGGTATGTGATATGAAGAAATGAACAGTAGGAACATACAAACAGAAATGAATGTTATCAAATTTGCAGCAACTCAGAATACATATACTCCTAATATAAATAAATTACAGTTTTACTATTAGATAGATTTTTAGATTTATTAATCAAGGAACCATTATAGATATTATTTTCCATTGCAGGTTGTTCAAGAATATGAAAGAGCTGTTATTTTTAGACTTGGTCGATTAGTCTCTGGTGGTGCCAAGGGACCTGGTAAGCATTTATCTTTTTTAATCTGTGTTTGACATCAACATACGACAGGGGACCACAGGGGACCTGGAGCTTGACACAGCTATACTCAGTGGTGTTAAAAGCTATCGGATTTTAATGGGTTTCTATCACAAAGAAATTAAGATACTTGAAAATCAATTAATATTAATAGAAGGTGGAAAGGAACCTGCCAGTATATACTCATTATGGTTACCTCCACAATTTGGTAAACTATATAATGGTTTCTAGTAATAATAATTCTGCCATCTTGTCTTGTACCTTTAAAATAGTAATATTTGTCCCCCGTCTTTCAAAGAAAGCATGGGACTATTAAAATGGGTCCGTCTGTCCCCAATTTGTTTGTGGACACTCTACAGGTCACAATTTTTATCCGATTTTGATGAAACTTGAAAAATAGGTGTAATACTTTTAGTAGAATTTTTGCTCGAGAAATAACATATTCGCATAATATGTGATATGTACTTAAAATACTTAAATCAACTTAGGGTTTGAATGACATATTGTGATATAAAAACACTTGTAGAGCCATAACATAACTGGTTCTATGTCAACAACATGTTAACAGATATCTCATGAGAATATTCTTCAGTAAAATTCCATTCCACCACATAAGGGTGGGTTGTCGACGTCATTGGGCTCAATTAACCAATCTCTATAATTATTTACATCATATTTGACCAATTGGATAATTGAATGTCCAAAACCAGTAGATACAAAATTAGGATACTGGTGAGAATTCGCTAGACTTCTATTAGGTTCCAGAGGGCTTACACCTGAGATCCTAGACAGCCACGAGGCTGGCTAGGGTAGAGAAATGGTTTTAGCTTGTATTGTTATCGATTATGCTTGTATACCTGTATTCAGCTATATATATATATAAAATATGAAGAAGCAAACTGTCGCATTGTTATTCCTGGTAAGACAGATGTCTTAAGAAACTGTAAGAAGTAAATACACAACGTGAAGCAGAAGTAAAGACAGCTAGAGACAAATTCTAGACGATCACAAGGCTACTAAATATGTAGTAAGAAAAGATGCATGGGTCAAAGATGCATGGGTCGTATGTAGGATGTGGCGAACGGTTCCCATAAATCTGCTCTCCACGTCAGACAGAAGGCTCATGGTGCTACATAGGTCTATCTCCCAAAGATCTTGGTTCCTTTCAATATTGGCATGTATCAGAATAGGCCTATGGCCCCTGATTCTACGAAAAATCTTGTTTATAGCTTGTGGACACTCTAGAAGTCACAATTTTGAACCGATTTTGATGAAACTTGAAATGCATGTTTGTAACCTTAAAGATTTTGGTTCCTTTTCGATATTCGTGCATATCGGATCGTAACTTCCTGAATTATGGCCCCTGATTGTACGAGAAATTGCGTTTTTAGATTGTGGTCACAATTTTTATTTGATTTCAAAAAAAGTTTTACTATATCACTGTTACACCCTTACATCGGCGTCACACATGGGGGGTCTGGGGGGGGGGGGGGTCCGACCTCCCAATTATTTTTCTGGGGGGTCTGAATATACTTGGACCCCCCCCCAAAAAAAATTTACAGAGTAGGCCCTAACTCCTATTTATTTACAACAATTATTAGGATTAGTTAAGATCTTATCTGTATAAAACCTGTACATATCCCAATATGGTTTACATTGCTAAAATAAAACACAGAGAGAATCGTCCTGGAAACGTGTTCCTTAAAATTGTGTCTAGTTAGCCTGACAGCCACGTAACCATAATGCTTTGCACGCGATGGCTGGGCAAACGAGTTGTGTAGACAGCATGGCCACATGGTGTTTCTTTATATTTTTTTAGGGGTTTTAAAAAAGGTTTAGGGTTAGGGTTGCGGACCCCCCAAATATATATTTCACGGCTACGCCTCTGCAACTTAAAGATTGTTGAATTCAAACTTCGTGAAAATTGGACCAAAACTGCTTTACAAAATGTACGCAAATAGTGTAAAAGTATGGTATATCATTCCACCATAATGAAGGTTGAATTTGAATTTCGGGAAAATCGAAATGAAACTGACGAAAAATGGCCGCTCTTTGTACGCAAATTGTGTATAAGTATGTAATGCAAAGGTGATGGACCCTCTAGAGGTTACAATTTTTATCCAATTTTGATGAAACTTAAAACATATCTTTATATTCCAAACATCTCAGTCTCTTCTGATATTTGCTCATTTCAGACCATAACTTTCTAGATTATGGCCCCTGATTGTACAAAACCTCGTTTTTGTTCTTAGCTTGTCTCTATCCATCTCTTGCAAAGTGTGGGTGTATCCTGCCTGGTAGCCACTGGTCTATGATTCTCAACGAATTTGAACAATTTGCCAACAATGGTTTGAAACTAAACATTAAATACAGAAACTTCTGTTAAAACAGCACAACTACATGATAGCTGAGTTGTAGTGATTATATCCCATTACCTTGTTGTCGGATTGACATTTTAAACCATATTTGTTTTTCAGGAATATTCTTTGTTTTACCATGTATTGAACAATATACCAAATGTGATTTAAGAACCATATCATTTGATATCCCTCCACAAGAGGTAAGTTAACGACCTTTATCACTCTCTATCTTATATTGAAAATGATCAGAGGGGAACAAGGATTAGAGGGGGTTGTGGGTTCGTGATTTCTGTTATAAGCCAGGTACCACTATGAGGACAAGGGTGACAGATGGTGGAAGAGGTGTGGATGGGGGGGGATTGCATAATGCATGATTTCTGTTTTAAGACACTGACTTTCAAGGGTTCTATTACACATACGCCAATGTCTGCACAGGAATTCTGTTATATCAGCTAGGAGGGGGTTGGATGGCCGAATGGTTAAGTCAACTGGTGTGGTTTCAATTCCCCAGTTGTACGTAACAAGGAGTAGGGTCGCCTGTCGAACCTCGTGGGTTTTCTCTGGGTCCTGCAGTTTCCTCCCACTGCTAAAGACCCCTATGCGCAAACGAATTATTGATATAAAATTGAAACATATGTTAGTCCCGAAATGATTAATAGCCATAGTCAGAGTTTGTCATCTTATCAGTGCATATTTTCTCTAAGTAGTGAATCATATTCCTACAATTATGCTGAAATTAGATATCAGACACAAGATTACCAAAATGTCAGATGAATGAGTCACATTCAAATATGTTAGTCTATACAAAAAACAATCTGAATTTCTCTGGAGGTGCTAAATTTGTTATTGAACTGAACCGTAGTACTGTAAAATTTATGACAGATTAAGAGACAAATTCCAAGGCATTAATAAAGCTTTCACATTCACTCACTACATACATCATTAACATCATTAAGTATCTGATACATTCAGCATTAATATAATTTACCACAGCAAGGAAGTTCACTCAGTGGAATAAATACATACAAATAATATACAGTTAAACATACATTATGCAAGAGCTAAATTTACCTATTGCAGGTCTTTCTTTAGGCCTGATATGTTATCTAAATTATTAATTAGACATTAATTAACTTATCCAGACCATAATCAACTCTCGATGGATTAGGTTCCAATTTGCTGTTCGACTTCCATTCATAATTTAATCATGAAATGGATAATCAAGACTATGTCTTTTATCGTACGGACTTTAGTAATGACGATCGTGGCTAATCCGACAATTCAATTGCTAAAATCTTGGTTCATTGTGGATCAATTTGACTGAAATTTTCAGCAAATTGCCTTTACATTATCTAGTTTCTAACTGTTATAGTGAGAACTGTCAGCTCTTTATCTAATCTCCCATAATGTATCTTTAATTTAAAATAACCAAGCTTATACACTAAGCGGTCACAACTTGCAGAAGAACCATAGGCAAAAAAACAGCATGTTATTGAACAGAAATGAAACAGAAAAACTTGTGCATGAATAAAAAATACTAGTTCACTCACAAGCAAAACAGCCCCAAGGGCAGAAAAAAAAACTTTTGTCTCCTACCCCAGATTTATTTAGCTTGAAAAATTGAAAAAAGTGAAAAATTACAAAGGAAAAAATGAAGAATGTTATTTACGGGATCTTGTCACGATCGAATAGTGTATAATTTCGTTCTGAGCCAATCCATGTTATTAAGATTTTGTTTCCTGAAAACAGGTTCATTCCTCACTCTAGATTTGTTTAGCTTGAAAAATCATCAGGTTTTGTCATTACAAAGGGAAAAACGAAGAACATTATTTATGGGACCTTAAAATTGAACTGTATGTTAGTTCCAAAATGACCTAGTTTGTGTCAAGTGGATGTTAAACCCCATTTCCGCTCTTGTTGTTGACTGAGAAAGTTTCTCTTCTTCTTTTTCATAAACAATATTTTATTTCAGTTGAAATTTGATTAGGGAACTGGTTAGACACATGTTGACCCTTCTGCAGTATTTACATAAAAAAATTAATTGAAAGACATGCATGACATATACACAAAAATCAAATGGGGTTTAACATCCTACTGTTCTGCTCCCAACACCATAGAGTGTGCTCTGAGGAAAATTTTTGCCCGGACAGTGGTACTACGGCCTACTCTTATATGTCTTTGTCAGGCCCTCGCTGGAAATCTGGAATGAACTTTCTCGGCGAATGCAGGGATCAAACACCCGACCTCCAGGCTAGCGAGCCAGTGTCTTACCCACTTAGCCACCTTGATACCCATCCCATATATACACAAAGACATTACTTATTTATGTAGCTAAATATTTGATATAAAAACAAATATTAATACACAGATGGCCATTCTTTTGACATACACAGTTTATTTCTTTTGTGTTGATTCCCCAGTTGTAATGACAAGGAATAGAGTCACCTGTCCAACCTCGTCTTCCTGTTCCCCCCCCCCCCCCACTACGCACAAGCAAATTATTGAAATAGAATTGACCCAAATGACCTAGTTTGTATGAGTGGATGTTAACCCCATTTCTCTCCCTCTCTCTCTTTCTCTCTCTCTCTCTCTCTCTCTCTCTCTCTTTCTCTCTCTCTCTCTCTCTCTTTATTTCTTTTGTTTTACATCATCTGCAAAACAGATGATAAGATTTTCACAGTTGGCCATTCTGATGACTTTCACAGTGTATTTCTTCTGTTTTACATCATTTGCAAAAAACAGATACGATTTTCACAGTTTGAGGCAAAGATTATTCATCATGTCTCCTCATGTTTGTTATTTAAATATCTGACAATGATGTGATCTGATCACCAGGATACCTTCATGTTTTATCAAAGATTAAAATTTCTGATCCTGTTTCTCAGGCGATTGGTTGAATTTTTATAAGGTGATAATATAAAGAATTTGAAAAGAGGCAGAGATCTAGATATGATGACATTCATCCAAATCTCTAAGTATGACATGACCTATTCAGAAATATAATTACAAATCTGGCTTTACTTTTATTTTTTAAAAAAGAAATCTTATTTCACTCAGAAGTTTTTTAGATATCAAGAGCTAAACCTCTTGGGATTTAGACCAAAATAGATATTGTATTGGTTGAATCTGACATGTCATTTTTATAGTCACCCATACGATTAAATTTCTGTTTCGAAAGACCAATTATGGCAATCGTTAAGCCAGCTTATCTTTGTCATCTGAAATCAAAAGAAGGGCAAATTAGCCAGTTTTAGAATCCCAGGTCCCTAAACGAGTTGACTTAACAATTTTGCACAGTAAGCAACGTTAATGGAGCTAAATCGCTAATATTGACACAAATGGGTAGCAACTCATATAATAATGTAAATTGAATGTACCGGTATATAAACTGATTTACATTCAGTCGTTCCTTTTTTTTACTGTATTTCTAATCGGTTATGTTTGGCGAATATGCCAGAAGTCTCAATCGAATGGCAGTCTCAAGCGTCTGGTTATTGCAGTCTACACCAATAGTATTTATTGCCCATGCTCTCCAGATAAGAATATGGCGTCACCGTTTCACATGGAATATGTCTAGCCTTGTTATTCTAGTCTCTTATTACAAATTTCGCTGAAACACATTATGGTACATGGTTCATGTACCGATGGTAAAATGTTTATTTTGTCTTAAATATTGGATATCAGAAGCCCATCTTTCCCAGTAAGGTCACAACATCAATGTTGATTTAAATTTACAAATAATTTGTGTTTTCAATGTCAAAGACTGTGTATGATATTGAGTTAGAGGCTTAGCTACTTTAAAACTCTTAATGAGGCAAAACGTTAAGGTGGCTTGGCTGGTAGCTGTGAATAACAGTTTTAGATGTACCTGACAAAATGTCAGGCACTAATGAAACATTACCTGACATTGTCAACTTAGTGCTGGACATGTATTAATAATATCAATAAAACAGACAAATCAGTGCCGAACAAAATGACAGGCACCAGATTAGGGCCTGACAAAGCCCGAATCTGTGCTTGACACTGTCTGTGAAAGGTGCCTTATTTCCAGGCTTGGCTGGTAGTATGTATAAAATGTAGGAACACTACACTCTCTTATTATAAAAACACAACAGTCTTAGTACCTGAAATCTTAAACTGAAATATTTTAAACATAATGCATTTTTATTGGATAAAAGCTCAAATTTGTGTTAGGATTTTAAAACTTAGCCAATGAAGTTGCTGTATTTTTAAAATATTTTAGTTTAAGATTTTGTGAATAAAGGCCTAGTTAAATATACCATTATTCGTTGCTGACTTTAAATTGACTTTGTTCTGAAATAGGTCTAATCCTATTTTATCATTGAATATTGAATCAACTGTTGATTCTTATATCCATCAGGGGAGCCAGCATATCAGACAATAATTGATTTCACGCAATAGCGCCCACCAATCAATATGGCTATAGTCATCTCGGTGTAAATGTTTAAAAGTGAGAAAAGATAATCTCGTAAATATATTCATTTATTTTTTTTTTACAATCAATACAAGGGATTTTGTGTACTTTCGGATAAAATGACCTTCTCAAATTTTACACATAGAAATGTTGTTTTGATTATCTAAATTCTAAATATGATTACTGATTTATTGATCAATTTTCGGTTTATTTGTTTAGTTAAACATTGATTTATGACTATTTAAAGGAATTAATTGTCATTGCTAGAAACTTTGATAATAACTCAAATTTTTGACTGATTGTATGCCCAAGGAGCAACGCCCTGACAAAAAGCATCGTCTAATTGTTTGGATGGGATGAAAACTAAATTCTTGTGTACGTGTTGGCGTTGACGTAAAAGAACCCTTGGCAGTTATTATTCAATGTAAATTAGGTGGTTAAACACTTCTGTTCAGACAAAAGCTTCCTTGTTACGCACAGCAACCACGTCCTCTCTTCATTTGCTCAGTTGGTGCTGAAAAATAGAGAGAGAGAGAGAAATGGTGTTTAACATCCACGCAACACAAACTAGATCATTTCGGGACTAAATATGGTTCACTTTTATTTCAATCTAAAACACAGATCCTATTTCGTTTCGTTTTTTATAGTTCAAAATTTCGTTTTACTTGTCTTTACTACACTAGGATCTGGAAGAGTTGGTATCATTGACGTGTTCTGAATAGTGTGAGGGATTAGCCAATGAAACGGTCTGTTATGGCGAGCTTT